CCCCAAAACCCCAAAACCCCAAAACCCCACAAGGAAAATCTTTAAATAAATTTGTAGTGCAAATATTGTTAATTATAAATATTTCATTAATTTTGATTATCATCTAGAAGATTCCTTAGTATTTCCTTTACCTTCTGCTCATGGTCAGAACTCAAATCTATTAAAATAAGTTAGCCGATGTGTACCACAAAAACAATAAATTAAAATGAAACTTACTATTTTAAATACAGAATTTGCGAGCAACTATGTTTATGTCTTCACTCTTTCTGATTTTCAACTATTTCCTGCAATTCTCACTTAGAATGACTTCTATCAAGTATATCTCATCTTTATCATTTTCTTGATTGTTCTTGTTTGAGTACATACCCTAAATGTAATTATCAGTAGTCTCAGTCAGTTGATTGTTGCTATTATAGTTAACATATTCAATCTCATCTGAGTCTTAGTAGCATTATTGATTCTACTAATGCTGTCTAGAGTATCTGGGGTTTGAGAAACTGAATAATTGCTGCGACTATAAATTCTAAATATGCTAGTGCTGTTACTGCTGTGCATTCATTTATTCTTATTAATGAGAGGACACTGTTGAAGCTGTTCTGTTTAGTTCTTTCTTCATAGTATTAATTAGACTATAACTCTTCTTGTGTCCTCCTTGAAATTGAGAAATCTTTTAATTAGAAAGCTAGCTATTTTTAGTTGAATATTGGCCTACCATAGATTGATTATTGCTGAAATAGTCAGATTATCTTCTGTTTACATTACATAGAGAAGCCTTCTACTTAATCTTAGGAGCAAAGGTACAGTCTTATAACTAGATTATCTCTTCTCTTTTATCTCTTTCAACTTCATTGATAAGCCCATTTATCAATTTCTACTTGCCTAGAGTGTATAACTAATTTATTCTGTTGTAGTTGATGTTCTTTTTTGGTTTTTACTAGTTTTGATCGATTGAACCATTCCTCACTCCAAGTCTTTACTATATCCTTTCCTAGATAGATATATTGCTAGAACTACCGTTGGGATTCATTATGAGCACATTAATGTTTTGCTCTTCATAGCTATTCTTATTTTAATCTGACTTGCCTTCATTGCTCCTCTCTTTGATAAACTTGCTATTATCCCTTTCTTATGACTTTTACTGCTGCTTTTATTTATGAATAATAGCTAATTAATGTGATTTCTCATTTATCCTAGGTTTAAAAGTCTCCTCTTAAACTTTTTAGGCTTCCTTTTCAAGTTTCTACTTCAAGAGGTGATCCTAATTTATTTTGTTCTGGTAAAGCCTGTGAAACTTCTTATGAATCAATCTCACATCATTTTCAAACAGACATAAGCTTTTTCCCTTGATCAAGCCAATACCAGCAGCAGTTTGCTATTCTAGATATTGCTCTTTTTCCTCGTCAGTTATATACTGATCTTAACCCATTTCCATATTCATAGGTGTCTCTAGGAATGAGTACTTCAAAGCGTCACTAATATGAGTCTTGAATTTTGTTCTGATCAGCTTATATCTTTAAATCCTTTGATGATACGAACCTTCCATTTCAGATTTATCTTATTCTAGCATCCAGCTTTAATGTATATCAAATATAGAGAAGACTAAGACTTTGGTATTCCTTATTGAAAATATAGGTTTGTTACCAGTCTATTTGTTAGAAATAGTTACTAGCCTTAGTATATCATCATATTGCTTCTCCTCATTCTTGCCTATTTCTTTGAATATGCCAATAGTATAAAGTAGAGCAACAAATTACTCCTCTGTAAGCATATTTTCACTGAGGTCAAATTTAGGGTAAATAGCTTTGATATTCATGAGTGCATTATCAAAGTCTCTTTAGAGTTTGTTTGAGATGATATTGATTGAATTTGGTGAGACTAATTGATATTTCTGTGTCTAACTGAGTTTTGCCTCAATAAGTTCCTGCTCTCTACGCCTTCTTAGTGCATCATCTGTTAACTGATTAAAAACATTCAACTTTTGCTAGGCTGAATTCACATCATCAAGATCATTTCCCCCTGCAACTGCATCGTTATTTTCTAATTAATTTTCTTTGTCATCTTAAATTAGTTGCTTTCTTGCTATTTCCTTAGATTTTTATGATATTTGAGGGCTAAACAGATCTTATTCTTCTTTGATTTAGTTTTATTATTGACACAACACCTTTTTCTCTCTCATATCTTTACTTTCCTGATAGAGTCTATCAAACAATTACTGTTATTGTCTTGGACTCATTATTAAGCTTTTATTTGAATTTGTAGTTGAAAGTAGTCTACCCTTAGAATTTGACTGTTCGTTTTTCTTTAGTGTGGTATTAGAATTAACTTTTGTAAGTTAAAGATTTGATTTCCTTTCTTTACTCTTAGACTCTTCCCTATTTTTCTAATACAAATCATCTATAATCTGATTGACTGTTCTCTTTCTCGAAGAAGAACGATTGAGCTATGGCTAAAATGGATGCTGCTATCGCATTTGCATCTCTTGCTATCTACGATGGTCCTCAATTTTTCTTTATCTTTCCTATTCAACTTTATACATCTTTTAAATATGATCTTATGTCTCGACCAAAGATTTTTATCTAGGAGATTGTATTTGAGACTGGGAAATTTTAATGCTCGAAATACTTCCTTCTCTTGTCAAAACATTTGAAGTATTTGCAGTCTCAACTAGCTGCTTTTTCTCCATCACACGATGAGTCTCTTCTTTTTCAATATACTCCAAACTGAATGTAAATTGAGTAGGCATTCTCTAGCTTTTCTCCTGCATTTACTCTATTGATTATTATGGTGGTTTCTAAGCATTGCTCTCTACTTTTTATGTCACTTCTTATGTTTCCATTAATTAATTTTCCTTTTCATCGAATTATCCTCGATCAATTTGTTTATTTAGCTCTCTATTTCTGTACATAACTTCTAAAGCTGCTTAATTACAAGATAATATTCTTTTTCTTTTGTATGGATTATCTTTCTATGTTGAGCTATTCTAGCTTGAAATAACATTTAATTCATTTCTTATCTAAACACATTAATTAAAACCTGATTCTTATTTCTATTACCTTATTATTTTACTACTGCTAAAGAGGTTCAGCTTCTTAAATGTATCTCATCTATGAAATGATTAGGAATAAAGTATTTATACATTTTGATAGGGCTTTTTATTGAAATTATCTCTATCAGAAAGAAGAGATGGCCTCACAGAAGACTATGGCTGGGAAATCATTTGCTGCTTATTTTTAAATTCTCTAGCCATTCTCACTTAGTGTATGGGATAAGCATCAATTGAATCCTTCAAAGAATTTGTATCTAAAATCGATTTTAATTAAGAGAAATTTCAGTTGAAAATTATTACTCTCCTTATCAATTGAAGTTGACTCATAGTATGTAATGGAGCTGTTGTTTGATTAATTTTACAGCATGTTTTAAACTTTTGAAATATTAACGATTATTAATTCAATAATTTTATTTATCGACCCTCTCAATTACATTTTGGGGTTTTGGGGTTTTGGGGTTTTGGGGTTTTGGGG